AGATTAGCAATAGCTCCAGCGACCATGCGCAAGGTCTGTGGATCCTCTGCATCTGCAGCTGTTAAAGATAGCAAGCTGATTCCACCTTGGTCCACAATCAGTTGTTGACTCACTTCTGTTACCTCACAAAACAAAAACTTGAACATATGAGCACAAACTGTCCCACCAAGCGGCCACAAGCCAGCTAATTAATTACTCTGTTTCTGCTTTCACTGTCTCTCCAATCACTAATTTTACTAAACAGTATCAGTTAGAGTTTACCGTTCATTGCGAGATTGGCAATTGCACCAGCGGCAACTCTTCGGACAGTTTCATCTTCGTAACTTCTGAGAAGCATTAGCAATGATGTAAGACCTCCAGCCTCAACGATCTTTTCCTGATTTGCCTCTGCTTATCAAACCCCAAGAAAATATGAAAACGTGAGAACCTATATCAAACAAAATTGATGCATATACGTCTGGGAGTGAGCTAAAGTTACCTTCAGCTGCTAGATTGGCCACAACTTTCACAGCATGAATTCGGATGTTTGCGTCATCTGACTCGAGCAATTGCAAGATCTTTTGTAGACCCACTGTTTCAAAGAGGATGGAAAGTGATAAGAACCACTAAGACCTGTACACACTCTGGTTCAAACATTTTAGAAGAAAATTCCATTACCTTGCTCACATAGTGTAGCAAACGGTGCCTTCTGTCCGTTCACAGATTCTCTTGCTTGAGAATGCCGCGATGGTAATGAGTCCGTGCCAGAGTATGAATTCCCCGGGGAGCCTCTGTCCAAGCATCTTCTCATCTGGATTCACAAGACTCTATTGTTAGATTACAAAGTCATGAGACTCAAGGTTTGACCATAATTAGTAGCAACATACAATTGTTATCAAGTACCAGAAGCGGATTAATAGACGATATGTGAAAATGTGCCTCATATTGAAAATAGCTATCGAAGGAAATCTATAGATACTTGTACTATTCCTTAAGGGTTGCAAAGTATTTTCAAAGAGGGCAAATGATGGAGACTAATCCTAAATCTGATGTATAAAGACAGTTGTATTACAGCAATTAAAGGAGAGACCTTTACACACATTGAATTTGTAAACTTTGTACCTGGTCAGCTTCAAAAGTAAGCTGCACAAGTTGACTTCGTAATATGGTGACCTCTTCTTCAAGTTTCTTTTTCTGAAGAGCTTCATCCTCAAGCAGTTTTTGTAGTCTAGAGATTCCAGCATCTTCGCCTTCCTAAAACACCAGAGAGCTTGGTTAAATATTATCTATGATGTTGAATCATCGAGAGGGGAGAGAGATGTGCGAGAAGAGAAGTTAAAGACTGAGTACCCCTGATCTTGTCTTCGGTGTTGACTGGCTTTTTAGTTTGTTAACTTCCTCTTCAGCTGCCTTCCTTAACTTCATTTCATTCTCAAGTGACTCTTTTAGCCTAGTAAGTTCACTTGCTGTAACAACCCCATTGACCTGCAAAGTGATATTTACTGGTTAAACATGGGCACTCCCATCACCTGAAAATAAGTAGCAGGTCTGTGGGCAGGTACCTCTACATTGCGTTTACCATTCTCATGGTTCCGCTGGTTTGATATCAGTTTTTCTTCAAGCTTCTTAACTGACTCCATATACTCCATTTGACACTTTAGTTTCTCCTTCTGTAAATAGAATACTAATTGTTTTATGATTATTTCAAAAGATACTGAAACAAATCACGAATGAAACCACTTTTCCGAGTTTTCTTTTCAGATTCTTTTTGGGGCATGCTTGTGGAATTTTAACGAACTTACCTCTAAGGCCTCTGCAAAGTTCTTTTCAACTTCTGATATACGATTTTCTGCTTGTCGATTTATTCTCTCCACATCATCATCAAATGCTTTCAGCTGCCTTTCATTTTCAGCAATCACCTTATCCAGTTGGACCTCAAGTTTCTTGGATAAACTCTTATAATCAAATTCTTCCTTTATCTTTAACATATTCTCTACCTTCATTGCCTGCCCACGATTAAAAATACTTATGGATTTGAAATGTCCCAATAGACTTGTACATTATGGGTTGGGAAAAGTTAGTGAAAACTTACCCTTTGACCAAATAGTATGGTACTTGTTGTCTCTCCTCTATGACGTGGAGAGGGACCAATGGTCACAATTAGGGATGTTCTTGCTGTGCCTGAAATGCAAACAACACATATATACATGAATGATAATACAGAAAAGTCAGTTTAGTAGAAATTCCTAAATCAAGTTACTAGGATTTAGCATATGAACAAGAAGGTATAAGATATCTAACCGCCAAATGAATCTCTCAACAGGCGAGTAAGTTTTGAATCACGAAGCGGAACATGAGGGCTATTCTCAGCTATTGCATTTATGCATTTCCCTAAAGCACTAAGTGAGAGATTAATGGATTTAGCTTCCTCCAGCATATGCCCTTCACTGCCTGCATTGCACGGAAGAAGGTGAAAATTGAGCAATCCCAAAAGGTAAAACTGTGTAAAGAAGTTTCATATTCCCTGATGGAAGGAAAATGAAGAAATGAGTAAATCTGTTTTGTTTTCAAGAGCTTTGACAAGCTAGCTCATTTGATTAATTGAGGTTTATACCAGACTTGTGAACACGTTCAGATCCAGCAAGATCTACTAGAACTAGCTTGCTTCTCCTAACCAAAGGCTTTGATGGTCTGACAAAGTGTGATGAGTTCTCCATTTCATTTGAGACTGAATCCTCGTTTTCCACCACCGACCTCTTGACATGTACCTGAACTATTGATCACGCATCAACACAAAATAACAATAAAGATAAAAGAAAATTTTCTATCTAACGCCTAGGAAGCTTTAGAGAAAGTTGAGAAGGCTAAACTGAGGTGAATTACCATGAGAATTGCATGACTTCGAGAGGATTCAGTATTCAACTTTGTGTTGGCTGCTACTCTATGTGTTTCCCCAAGTTGAAGTAGCTCAAGGAAGTTTTGGTGGGTCCTGATCTCTACATGGGTAGCCCCTGGCAAGGAGACATCTCCAGTTTTGGGATCTTCCACTATTGCAATATTGTCATTAGTTGGGTCTAGGAGATCTTGGATGGTCTCCATATAAAGCTATTCAATATGAATGTACAAAAGGAATCAAAACAAACTAAAGAATGCAAAGTAGTTACTGAAGAATCAAGAATTAGTTTCCAAAGGGACGAAACCTGTAAATATGAGACAGTGACAGAATCAGTCTCTAGAGAAGTGCCCCCAATGATATCTTCCATAGATCGAACCATGATACCACGAGCAGCAGTATCTTCATCTCCTAACCTCCCAAGGGTAAAAGTCTTCCCAGTACCCGTCTGACCGTAAGCCATCACAGTTCCATTATAACCCTCAAGAACACTCTACGAACAAAAAGTAATTCACTGTGAAGATAAATAAAGAAACCAGAGAAGAAGACAACATAATGATGAAGGAAAGACATTACAGACCTCTACAACTGGCTTGGCAACGACTTCGTATACTCGCTTCTGTGAAGCAGCTTCAGTAAGCACCTCATCAAACTCGTAAGTCTCTGTGTCCCAATTGTTTTTTCGTAGTTTCAACCTTTTAAGCTAACACAAAGCAAGAATTGAGACAATGAGTGATAAAGACTAAACCCCTCACTCAATTAACAAGGAATTAGAGTCAAACCTCAGGTTGCAACTCAACACAATCAGCAAAATCAGCATCTGCCACTGACTCATCTGCATTTCGAGGTCGTAATCTTACAGCCACTCGAACTCTCCCAGGCACTATAAAAGAAAAACAAAAAGCACATAAGCAAAAAAGAACTCATCGAATCCAGAAAACTCAACAATCCTATCCTAAAAAGCAAATTAAACCTCCCTTTCACTAACACAAAGTTACACAAGTGAGATAGTGAGTAAAAACAAAACATCCATTTAAAATCGCATCTGAGTAAGTAATAACAAACGGACCTCCATTGTCTCCGGAGGAGGCTCCTCCGAGAGAAGCAGCAGAAGAGTTGCGACGGGGAGCAGGAGCGGAGGAAGGAATCCGGGATTTGAAAGAAGACGATCTGAGATTGGAGGAATTAGCTCCGGAGACAGGTCTCAAGGATCCTCTAATCGCACCGTTTCTCGAAGACGCCATAGCCATATATGCTTATTAGTCCCCTCCCCAGTCTTCTTCCTCCTCCAGAGAGTCGAGACGGCGGTTTAAGCAAAACAGAAGAAATAAATTCAAAACGAAGAAAGAGAGATGAAGGAGACTGCTTTTTGTGTTTCTTCAATTTTGGGGATTTTCATTTTTACTCTCTCATTTTGTTTTTTTTACAGTGATGGAGGTGGAGGACGGCGGGCCCCACACGCGTTTAGAATTTGAATGAGGACAGAGACAGTCGTTGGGTTAAATGGGTCCCACTAATGTCAAATGCGTACATGAATTTACTGTTTTACCCTTACCAGGGTGGTTCGGTCCAGGTAATGATCGCTTTTATTGCGCCGAACGGGTCGGCTTTAGTGATCAGTGGAAAGGACTGAATTACCCTTGGAATGATCCGGGCTAGGTTCGGCTGGGCCCATTGATAATGAGACTTAGCAGGCCTCGGTGAATTTTTATGCCAACATTTGGAATCCTATCTTAGAACGTTTAAGATTTTTTTTTGGTCACGAATCTAGAACGTTTAAGATTATGTTACGATTTCATCACAAGACTCTACTAATCACACTTATATTTGGAGGGACTACTCATAGGTATTTTGACATTTTCGTGTATTTCAAATCT